GCATCGGCGACACACCTCTGTACAGTCGACAGTACGACTTCGCCTTCGGACCTTAGGCTTGTTGCTTTTAGTCTTATCACTCCTCAACCAACCTGTCCGGCACGGTAGAACCTTGAGGAATGATTGTTCCAGCCAGTATATTCGATTGACTCCTCATCAAGCCTGACCACCACGTCAAGGTAGCAGCAACGGTCAGGATATTGATAAATCATATATAAATGATTAGTTGTAAAATTAGAAAACAGGCATTACAATTTTGAATCATTTTTCTGGTTAGAGTTTTTGCCCAGGACGGAGTTGGATGGAGCATACTGATGTGCGGCCTACGCTACTCCACAAGGGGTAACAGGCGTAAGGAAGTAAGTATTACAATTTTGATAATTGAACAAAAAGTTTAGCATACATACATCTGTATTTGGATTATCTGTTTAAATTAATAATCCAATTTCCTGAAGTTGTAGTGAGAAGCAGTGACTGGTGGAGTTCAACCAGGTCTGTTGTGAGATAGTGGCTCACTGAAGACAATGGTGGATGTGTCACTTAATTTCGTGGATCAGTTGAAGTTAGACATTAACACAATCGGATGCCGACCAGCTCAGTGGTCTGGAGGTTAAGAGTTCGCGCGTGAGACTGATAGATCCTGTATTCGAATCTCGCGAGGTGGGATGGTGGATGCATACTGCTGCGGAGTCTCACAATAGGACGGAACAGACGTCCAGTGCTTCCAGGTTTTCCATGGTAGTCTAACTTCGATTGACTCATGATCTCAACTATATAATATTAAAAAACTTCTATCTTTGCTCATATTACTTGTGAATTAAGGCTTTATCGAGGCAGTACGCACAATATGCACATATGGCCAATAAGAGAGACTGACCAGCTGCAGTCCTAAAACATCAATGGGAAGATTCAAACAAACAATACCAAGTGAATTTAAAACTTTATCACATTGCACAAGCAGGTGGCCATCAGGACTCAATAGTTAAGTGGATAACGCGATCACGTTTAAAGTGGACGATAATGGGTACGAGTCCCTGAGTGAACACAACTCTAAAATGCAGATACATCCAGCTGACGAGTCCCAAATAGGACGAAACGTGCCTATTGGATTCCACTCCTAGTCACTATCCATCAATGCTTATAAACTTACTAATGGTTTATCTATTTCCTTAATTATCGTTTTGTATAATCATCAATGCTATATTTAGTTCTCTTTGAAATATTCTATCATAAGATAGAAAAAGTGACTACATTTAAAGAATTGAACTCATTAAACTTCAATGCTACCGGAAGTTTATGCTGATGACGTCGTTCAGAAGAACAATGAAAAATCTACGATCAAACCATCCAGCTTGCTTACTTACCAAAGAACACATTACTCCGAGAAATAGAGACAGATATTAGAAGAATGAACAAAAGTTGGATAGAACTAGAAAGGAAGGCTGAGGATAGAGTGGGTTGGAGAATTCTGGTCGGCAGTCTAAGCTCCATTGGGGTAACAGGCGTAAGTAATCTTCAAGAACAGGTCAGAGGTCATATGGAGTTGGAATTGGTAACATAAGAGATGGGTTACACAATAATCAAACAAGGTCTGTAGGAATATAAAGTGGATTTCGTGATAATTTAAGAGGTTATGAAGGGTTTACATAAGATCATTAGAACTAAAGATTGATAAGATGGATGACATGATCAATGAAATTGGATTTGAAGAGGTTACATAATTAAAGAGGATCAAGTGAATGAACACGTAAGAGTGAAGAGACGGTTTTCATGTATATAAAATAAGACCATATGACAAAATGAGCACTAATAATGATAATGACAAAAATAATTGAAAGCATTAGTCATTTGAAGCTAGACCACCAAGGAAAACGCGGAACCACTAGACGGCCGTTTCGTCCTATTGTGGGACTCCTCAGCAGTGCGCACCTACGATCTTGCCTCGCGAGATTCGAATCCAGGACCTATAAGTCTCGCGCCAGAGCACTTAACCGATAGACCACTGAGCCAGCCAGAATCCAATGGTGTTATTGTCTAACTTCAACCAATCCACAGAATTGATCAACAGTTCACCGATTGTCTTCAGTGAGTTCCTATCTCACAACAGATGTGGTTTGAACTCCATTAGTCACTGCTTCTCACTAGAACTCCAGGATTTACCTCTCAAAGTCAGTCACTAGTGAGCATATAATTACTATCAGAAGCGGTTTTTATGGAGATTTCAGTATTTTCATAGTTGAAAGTATGAGTCAATATTAGATCAATAATAATACGGTACTCTTTAGCAACCCCGAATGTGAGACTCGAACTAAGACCATCGACCTCAAGTGAATTCTTTAATTGTTCCTAGGCTTAAATGTTATAGGTAAAGAACATGTCCACAGTCTCCGATTATGCATTTTTATAACAATTATGTTTCGTTTTCATTCTTTCCTTATCGATCTTCTAGTGAAATATATTCTCTGCCTGACCATCCTCATATACTACTTAAATGGATGTAAGCAACCTACACCACACTAGTACAAATATTCACAACAATTAAATGTGATTTAATAATCTGATGATAAAGTCTTACTAACTTACTTACTTACTCACTCTGACACTCGAATACAGTATCTTTCAGTTAAAATATTGACAGCTTGAAACCACGAAGACCATCACAAATTAAATGAAAATTTATTCTAGTTATACTAGTGAGTGGCTATCTGAACTCAAGTCAGACATTTCAAACAAAAGTTAGTTAGTTCGACTGTCAGTATGAATGACAATCCTGTGATGTTCAATAATGTATCAAAGTAACAAATCCTAAACAGAAAGAAACGTGTATCCTGAATTCGACTACAAGTCGCATTTTATCTATTCCATAAAATCTTGTAAAACAATGCCCATAGCAAGTCAATCCACAAAGGATGTATATATGCCAACTAAAACTGATCAAAACTCAGAAGGAAATAAAAACTTAAGCTAGATCACCATTGAAAACCTGGAAGTACTGAATGACCAATTCATCCTAATATGAGACTTTTCAGATGTGCTCATTCACTATCCGCATGCCGGACACGAGCGTAGAACCTTCTGTCTTACGTGCAAAACGAAACGAACGTTCAGTGCCCTCCAGATTTCATTGGAGGTCTAGTTTCGATAGACTCATGAATTCAACTATTATAATTACTACGAAATTGAGCAATCATTCACTAATGTCATCAGTGAGTTGAAATCTCCCAACAGACCTGGTTGAACTCCACTGGTTACTGCTTCTCTCTAGAACTCCAGGAAATACATCATGGAACCAGTCACTAGTGAGTACATGATCATTGTCAGAAGGGGTTTTGTTAAGATTTTTGTAATTTTATAGAGTTGAGATCATGAGTCAATTGAAGGTAGACTGTTATATCTAGAACCTTGATTCTTAATATGCCACAAATTACTAGACTACTTGAACGATCGAACCCGCAACGTCGCAATAGAGAAGACAAAGACTAGTAAGTAGGAAGTTTATTCCCCCAAATCAGTGTCAAAAATAGTACAGAAATCTCCTGTATTTATAGTTTTTTGGTTGAATGTAAATCACCATTTAGGTCAACCAATAGGCACATAGGGGTCATGCTAATCCATCCAATGGGGAAGCTACATGTCGACATTCTAGAACATTCCCCTAGCAGTGATTGAATGGAATGTCTGTAGCTCTTCCTGGGCTTCTTAAGGCTTCCTAGAGTCTACCGACGAGCCCTCCTTACACCTCACCTCTTTAGAGTTTGTGACGTATGACTTTCTTTTAGGATCCACTTGAAACATTGCTGTTGCTCTCCTTTTTCTGCTCAGAACCCTTGTCGGCTGTGCGATTTCACTTTTACGTTTTCTAAATCGTTGGTTTCGGCATTCTTCCGGGCTTTTCTGCGTTATATCCACCAGCATGTGGAACGGTAGTCGTGTATTTGTCACTGTTCTATGATCTTTCCTAATCTGATTAATGTGTCTGATACACTTTCCGTCCCTATTCCGGACTAAATAAAGTACCTTCCCGATACGCCATTCTATGATGCCTGGTTTCCATTTCTGACCACCTTGGTACCACTTTACAAGTACTTTCTCACCCACCTTCAAGCTGCGGTCGCTCGTCGGATACTCGTGTACAGGTTTTGTTATTTTCTTGGGTGGTAATATTCTGTCGAATATCGTCCGGATTTTCCTTCCAAACATACATTCTGCTGGTGAATCCCTTCTGGCACCACCGGTTAGGTGTGACTCTGTAGGTCTCTGTAGGAATCTTCTGACCATCTGTTCCGGATTACCCTCTCTTTCCTCCTTAAGAAAAGCTCTTTTAATCGTATCTACAAACCTCTCAGCTTGTCCATTGGATTGGGGATGGTATGGAGAAGATTGAAGGTGCCGTATACCATTTTCACCGCGAAACCGTTTGAACGTTGAAGACATAAATTGAGTGCCATTGTCCGTTACTAAGATTTCTGGGACGCCGAAACAAGAGAATAGATTGGATAATCTAGAAATTGTGTTCTCCGACGTCGTACTTTTCATTTTATATACTTCCGGCCATTTTGTGTAGGCGTACACAATGACTAAAAAGTTCCTGCCTTGTATCGGGCTGCGAAATCCGCGTGTAATCCTTGCCAGGGACCATCTGGTTTCAGCCACGGTTGTGATTTTACTTTTACCACCATGGAAAACCTGGAAGCACTGGACATCCGTTTCGTTCTGTTATAGGACTCTTCAGCAGTTCGCATTCACAATCATGCCTCGCGAGATTCAAATCCAGGATCTATCAGTTTCGCCCGCGATCACTTAACCGATAGACCACTAAGCTGGTCAGCATTCAATGGGCATTATTGTCTAACTTCAACCAATCCACAAATCCCCATTCTAATAAAAAATATCATCAAAATACCTTTACAAATTGAATTACTTTATTTCAGTTAACATCAATGAACATCAATATTTGATTATGAAAGTTAAATGTATTGGATATTGTTTCCATGATCATCTTATATCAAATCGGGGAACATGTGTATGATTGCATCTAACGATTGATGTTTAATTAATTGTTCTGTTAATTGTGTCATCTGATAATGAGAATTCACACAAGGGTATGCTATTCCATTGGGTATCTCCACATTCAAGAACTTACATAATGGTTCCCAACCATCACCAAGACGAAGTACTAGAAGACGATCTGATGGTACAGTTTCTTGTACCAATCTATTATATTCATCATAACATTCAAGGAGTACTTGATCATCATCTAAATCAAGATCATCTTTTTGAAATGCAAACTTTAATGAGTCTTCAGTTAATTTATGGAAATCTGAATTAAGTCCTAAGACTTTATCACCTTCTTCAATTTTTAGTTTCCATGGATCATTTGATTTGGGTAACACTACTTTACGTAAACTATGTAACCAATCATATTTATCACGTATTGTTAATAGAACCTGAAAGATGGTATCAAAGAAATAATATATATATTTATTTGTTAATTCATATTTGAAACATTGAATGAATGGACTAAAACATGTACAAGTTAATCAGAGATGGATAGTGGCTAGCAGTGGAATCCAGGACGCGCGTTTCGTCCTCAGAGTTGATGTTCACTCTGGGACTCGAACCCAGTACCCTCGCTTCAAACGCCATGTACAAGTTAGTGATGAATTCAGGAGACTGAAAGTCTTGACAGGGAACTGTGGATCAACGGTGGCATTTGTTACCAAATCACCCTCGAGTCACCTTGAGAGTAGTTGTAATGAATTTTGAATGATTTATAGTCTTGATAGGAAACCGTAGATCGAAGGTGTCACTTGTTGACAAAGACTACTGTTCATCTGGAAGATAATGGTGCCATAGTTGAAATCATGAGTCAATTGAAGATAGACCACCAAAGAATACCTGGAAGCACTGGACGGCCGTTTCGTCCTATTGTGGGACTCCTCAGCAGCGGTCTATCGGTTAAGTGCTCTAGAGCGAGACTGGTAGGTTCTGGGTTCGAATCTCGAGAAGCGAGATTGTGGATGCTTACTGCTGAGGAGTCCAACAATAGGACGAAACGGCCATCCAGTGCTTCCAGGTTTTCCATGGTGCTCTAGCTTCAATTGTGTTAAATCCCACTGGGTTTGCCAATTTAAATTTGTGTGCGTGTGGTCACACATACATAGAGGAGGAGCAATCGTGATCTGAAAATTACGATGTGTGAACATATATCAAAATGGTTCCAGAAACAAATAGAATCAAATGACCCAATAAGAGTAGAGGATAAACATTCATCATCCTCTATTGCTTAACATATAATCGAAACAGGTCAGTAAGATTGATTTTAACTCGGCTTTTATGGTGTTGTATAAAAGTGTAAAAGGGCATATACTAAGGTTTATGTGATGCCTTAGCCATACAAAAATTCAAACCCCCCTTTTATGTATTCAAAAACAGTTTGTTCTCATCTTGAACCTACCCTGGTAATATTATCCAGAGTGAATGAGTTTCATATTGTTTTCACATTATTTTTATGTTTAACATTGTTATTAAAGGTTAACCAACCTTTAAAATCTGATGGCTTATTTTTTTGATAAAGTTTTGTTCTCTGAGCTGGATGGTTTGGTTGTGGAGCTTCTAACTGAAGTTTGTGCTGATGATGTCGTTCAGAAGGATGATGAAAGCTCCAAATACTTCATTTGCAAAATATTAATCAATCGTCTATAACTTCACTGTTCTTCCATTTCCATACTAATCATTCTCTGTTCTTATTCTCGTTTTCTTCTCCTCAATCTTCTTAACGCTCTTATCATTATTTTATTTATCTAAACATATAAATATTGGTTCAAAGGGATACCAGATATATATGCGCCATACAAATCTCATTCGATTTGTGCGATGGCTATGATACTGCCAAGGTGCCCACACCGAAACAAATGGTTTTCCTAGGGGAACATACCCGCAGCCTTTGGCCCAAAGGTGTGATCCACAAGTCAGTGGAGCATCGTAAGGAGATGCAGTTACATGGTAGCCGGTGATCAGCGATTGATTCATAATTCATTCGTTTCCTCAGGATACTGAAGCCAGCTCATGTGCACCATTGGTCCGGAAGTGTGGTTTTCCAACTCTCCTAGGTGGACTTTCCGTGTCCACCAACCCGGTCAAAGCATCGGAAATTTGCTTTTCATCCTCTCTTTTTCGTAAACATCAGTAATGCTATGAGAAGGCAGTGAGTAGGACTTATTTGGCAGAGGCTATATACGCGTGGTCATCTGAGAGTATTTCTAGAGCGAGAACGTACTCTCCCCACTCTCTGTCGTACCAGGGTATTTGAGAGCTCTTAAGAATTTGGGGGGCAACCTTCTGCCAATAGACATTTCACTTTCAACTAATGATACATACTACTTATATCTGTCGACATCAGTAGCATACACTACTCTAATTTTTTTCAGTGTTTAGATTATTTTATCACTTGTAATGATGTTATTTGATAAGTTATTCTCAATTTAGGCGGATTATTATGTCAGTTATACAGTCTTACTAATCATCTTTTATAATTACCTGAATACATTTGACCTAATTCATGCCATTCAATAAACTAATGTGATTATTAAAAATGATAAGTTGATCTGAAAATTGACAATGTGAATACTTCTTAAGGAATTATCTAATCTGGTAATCTCTCATTCATTCTAATTGACATGCATACGGGTATCACAGAAGTAGCATATTTATCTTTCATACTTTGGATGTAGTTCTGAAAAGAGAGAAAAAACGTCTTGTGTGAGATGCTTATCTTATGATTTGTATGACTAAATCCTACAGAATTTGAAATCACGAGTCAATTGAAGATAGACCACCATGGAAATCCTGGAAGCATTAAACGGCTGTTTCGTTCCATTGTGGAACTCCTCAGCAGAGCTCATTTACGATCCCTCCTCGCGAGATTCGAACACAGGATCTATCAGTCTCTCGCGCGAGCGCTTAACCTTTATATCACTGAGGTGGCCGGCATGCAACGGCGTTAATGTCTAAGAGATTTATAGATAAAGATAAAGTGTTTTCTATTATCTTTTCCACTAACGTTTTACAACGTTATTATCCCAAACAAATATTATTAACTTATTTACTTACGCCTGTTACTCATCATGGAGGAGCACAGTTCACTCACTAGCATTCTGCATCGAACTCTGTCTTGGATAATCATCTTGCTGCTCATTTAGACTTATTACCTGTCTCAAGCTTGAGTAAAGGAGGAGAATTGAGAATAGAGTCAGCAATCTTATCCCGAAGAAAACAACCTTGCTAACAAATAAAAAAATGCTAACCAACCCCCTTATCATATGCTCACTGATGACTGGCTCCATGAGGTATTTCCTGGAGTTCTAGTGGGAAGCAGTAACCAGCGGAGTTCAACCAGGTCTGTTGGGAGATATCAACTCACTGAAGACATTGATGGATGTGTTGCTCAATTTCACAGATTGGTTGATATTAGACATTAACACTGTTGGATATCGCCCGGCTCAGTGGTTTGGAGGTTAAGCGTTCTCTCGCGAGACTGATAGGTCTTGGATTCGAATTTCGCGATGCGGGATAGTGAAAACGCACTGTTGAGGAGACCCACAATAGGACGAAACAGCCGTCGAGTGCTTCCAGGTTTTCCTTGGTGGTCTAGACTCAATTAACTCATGATCTCAACTATATATAAAAAACTAAATATTAGTTGTATTTTATCTGAAAGTATTTTTTGTGCACTCTTGACCATTCAGGAAACTGTATAGATTCTCTCATTATTTTTTATATGGACATCGTCGTTTAGATCAACAAAAGATTATTTTTATTTTATAAAATATTCAAACTACATATGATCAATTACGTTTTTTCCTCCTTCGTTTATTACTTTTCAGTAGTGTGATCTCTGGAAATGAAACTAAGGATGACGTCCATGACCTTCAGGACTTCAGACGACAATGTTTCCTTCAAATCTGTGTCATAATTTAATTGTGTGCATTTCTTAACCATAAATAATGAATAATATAGTATTGTGATCATCATTTGCGATTAGTGAAGCCTTCCTTAATTGTTGATAAAATCAGATAAGATCAAACAGGCTACATATTGGTTAAATAGACAGACAGATCATAATTAGCATAAGTTTCAGTTATTCTATAGTTCTTAATATTTCCGAGTATCTACAATATATATTTCAACTAAGGCCCCAAAATGCTCTGGTAAAGCCGAGAGTGGGGAGAGTCCGCCCTCTCTCTCTCTCTCTCTCTCTCTCTCTCAAAATGCTCTCAAATGGCCACACGTATATAGCCTCTGTCAGGGAAGTCCTACTCACTGCATTCTCGTGGCAGAGGTGTTGTTTAGGAAACCGAGAGGACGAAAAGTGAATGTCCAGCACTTAAACCGGGTTTTGGCCACGGAGGGTCCGCCTAGGTGAGTTTGTAAACACTAATTCCAAACAAGTGGTGCACATGGGCTGGCTCCAGTACCCTGAAGGAACAAATGGCGTATGAATCAATCGATGGTCACCGGCTACCATGGTACTTCATCTCCTCACGATACTCCACTGACTTGTGAATCAAATCTTTAATTTAAATGCTCGGGTTATGGCCCCCTATAAAACCCACCTGCTTCAGTTTGAACACCCGGGCAGTATCACAGTCCTCACAAATGAACTGAGATTTGTGTGGCGCATATGTATCTGATGCCCCTTTGTACCAATATTTGTGTGTTTAAAATAAATAAAATGAAACAACCATTAAAACCCTGGAAGCGCTGGTTTGGGACTCCTCAACAGTACGTGTTTATGATCTCACACGTTGGATTCAAACCCAAGACCTTCATTCTCGCGTACGAACGCTTAACCTCTAGACCACTGAATCTAACTTTCACCACCTTTCACCACTATCTTCAATGAGTTACTACCTCACAAGAAACTTATCAACATTAATATTAGAATAGTATGATATTATTTCTTAAGTTCAATTATATAACTGTTAAAATATTAACAATTTATGAGTATAAGAAGGGGTTTTTGTGGACAATATAGTAATTTCAGTAGTTGAGATCATGAGTCATTTGAAGATAGACCACTATGGTAGCAATGGATGGCAATTTCGTCCTAGTATGGAACTCCTCAGCATTGGGCATCCACGATTCCGCTTCACGAGATTCAAACCCTGAACTTATCAGTCTGGCTCACGTGAGCGCTTAACCTCTAGACCACTAAGCCTGGTTTCAAGGGGTATTTCCTGGAGTTCTAGTGAGAGTCAGTGATGAGTGGAGTTCAACCGAGTCTATTGTGAGATAGTAACTATCTGAACACAATAATGAATGTGTCGCTTAATTTCATGGATCATTTGAAGTTAGACATTAACACTATTGGTTGTTAGCCGGCTCAGTGGTCTATCGGTAAAGTACTCGCGCACAAAACTGATAAGTCCTGGATTCGAATCTTGCGAGATGGGATCGTGTATTCCCAATACTGAGGAGACCCATACTAGGACGAAACAGTCATCTAGTGCTTCCAGTTCTTCCTCGGTAGTCTAACCTTTAAATGACTCATGATCTCAACTATTGAAATATGTAAGTAATACAAAAAAAAACACAATTACCTTCGCATTCGGATATATATTCATTAATTCTTTATAGAATCCACATGCTGGTACATCGGTTACTGCACCATAATTCATTAAAATTTCTTTTAAACCATCATTAATCATTAATTCATTAGTTGGTTCCATTTTCAATGCTTCATCAAATAGTTTTTGCCATTTATCTATATCATTATGTTGTTTGATTATAATTTCAGTCATATGATAACATGGTTTATGATAAATGATTTCTAAAGCATTTTTTAAACTTTTTGTACCAGTTCTTGGTAGACCAGCTCCGATAACCAATAAGTCATTTGATGATTCTGACATATAATTCGATATAGATATGTATATTTATTGAATGCAATGAAGAGATACTACTTATATACTGATTATTGAAGAATAATGATCATTTCAGGCCAATAGTTCATTGATCATGATCATTATGAATGATCTTAGAGAGGTAGATTATAGAAAAAAAAGAGATTTATTGCTTGATCATAATGATAAGTATTTAGGTTAGGTATGATACTACTTATAAGATAATGTAACTGTTCTTTATATAATCTTATGATGTAAGGCAATAACATAAAGTTGTCGGTTGGTTAATGGAATAATCAAACATTAAGATCGTTGGATACAGTCTCAATAGTCTAGAGGTTATTTGTTTGTGTGGATGACTGAAAGTCCTGGTTTCGAGTCCCATATACAAGATTGTGGATACATACTGTTGAGGAAATCCTTCAAGTTTTCAATGTTGGTCTAGCTTGGATGAACTCGTGAATTCATCCATTAAAATAGTAGTATAGTTAGTGAAAATTGCTTACAGTTTGAATGATGGATAACTATTCAATAATGCAGAATAGAAAACTGTTAATTATCAATTGGTCAGTAGTTATAATATAATAAAAATTATAAATTCATGTGTCTATGTAAACTAAACCACCATTGAATATGTGGAAGTATTAGACGACCGTTTCGTCCTAATACGAAACTCTTCAGCAATGTACATCCACGATCCAATACACAGGATTCGAACCCAAGATCCTTTAGGTCTCGTGTGTGAATACTTAATCTTTATCTTAAATTGACTCATGAATTAAACGAATAAAATGACTAAAATATACACAAACCCCATCCTCATCATAATATCAATCATACTTTTACTCCTATTTATAGTTTGTTTCATTATAAATAGATATCCATTGTATACATTAGTACAAAATATAATTGTCATTATTAACAATGGATGAAATCAGTGATAAAGTACAAATTGAATTGCACTCATACTATTTCTTGATATGTACAAATAAGCATTTTACACTTGGTAACAAACCAACTATACTCTCCTAAGTAGTTACTATATTGTAACCGTATAATCTAAAGGAATAGATGATAGACAAAGATGGATAGTGGTTAGCAGTGGAATCCAGGACACGCGTTCCGTCCTATTTGGGACTTGTCAGCTGGATATACCTGTATCTCAGAGTTGGTGTTCACTCTGGGACTCAAATTCAGTGACGTTTGCTCCGAATAATGGGAAGATATAAGTAAACAATACCAAGTGAATCTAAAACTCCACCCCATTGTACAAGCAGGTTGCCATCAGGACTCAGTAGCTAAGTGGATAACTAGACGGCGTCCGAGTCCCAGAGTGAATATCAACTCTGAGATGCAGGTGCGTTAAGCTAACGAGTCCCAAATAGGATGAAACGAGTGTCTTGGATTCCACTATTAGCCATCATCCATATTTGCTTATAAACCTTGTGACCTAGGGCAATATCGAGGTAATACGCACAGTATGTACATATACCAATAAGAGATTGATCAATTTCAGTACTAAAGGTCAGTGGGAAGATACAATTCGACAAAATCAAATGAATTTGAATGGATGATAGGCTGAAAAATGTGTCAGACTTTGTTTTCTAATTTACGTATCCGGACGGTTCAACCTAATACCAATGATCTATTTAGCTTGTGTTTAATCTCATATTGGACTCAAGTCAGCTAGCAACAAACCTACAGTCTCATGACAACTGGAAGTTCTGCCTGTTAGCTTGAAAATGATTCTATCCTATGTACATCAAGTGATTGACATGGTGTTCAAAAACATTACTTACAAATATAATAATCAAAATGAGGCCAAAGTACACGATCTCAATAAGCCTATATAATAAAAGAAGAATATAGGTACAAAGGGGCACCAGATATATATGCGCCACACAAAAATTGTCATTTCATTTAATTGTGTGAGGGCTATGGTACCGCCCGCGTTTCCAGACCGAAGCAGGTGGTTCTCTTAAGGGATCACAACTGAGGCCTTCGAACTAATGGTTTGATCCACAAGGTAGTGGAGAATTGTGAGGAGATGCAGTCTCATGGTAGCCGGTGATCAACTATTGGTTCATAGGCCATTTTTTCCCTCAGGATACTGGAGCCTTTGTGCAACATTGGTTTGGAATGAGAGTTTTCCAACTCTCCTAGGTGAATTTTCCGTGTCCACCAACTCGGTTGATTCATAAACTACTAACATCTAACTGGTGATCACTCAACAGTAATCATCAGTATCGATCAAGAAATAAGAAAAAGGAGACTTGTTGAAATACTTTATGCTGTGAACTCTATTTTGTACCCAAAATATAATATTAATTAAAGCTATTGCTTACTTAAGCTTGTGACTTGCAATGGAGCATAGGCCGTCGACCGGAATTCACCAACCCACTCTGTCCCGGGCCTTCCTTTCTAATTGTATCCAATATTTGTTCAATCTTCTCATATCTGTTTCCATTTCTCGGCGTAATGTGTTCTTTGATCATTCTCTTGTTCTTTAACCTTCAGGATTCCATGTGAGGACTTGCCTTGTGAGGTAGTTGAATGATTTCCTCAATATATGTCTCATCCACTTCCAGTGCTTTTTCCTGATTCCTTCCGTCGCCGAAATCTGATTTGTTCTCTCCCACAGTAGATTGTTGGATTAAAGCTATTATTAGTAGTATAATAATAGTACAATCAAATTACAATAGGGAGGACATATTCATTTGCTCTTTTTTGTTTATACCTCTAGTATTTGAATAATCACGTTTTTATGATAGAATACAATAGATTTTCATATAATAATATGATATTCTTTGTTCAAGTCAGAAAACAATGATCCAATGCAATAAGTAGTGTAAATATTTTTCAGAATGAAATTGTAAGGACGGCTCGTTGGTAAACTCTAGGAAACCTTAAGAAGCCCAGAAAGAGTCACAGACAGTCCATCCAATCACTGCTAAGGGAATGTTCTAGAATGTTGACGTGTCGCTTCCCCATTGGATGGATAAGAATGACTCCTATGTGTCTATTGGTTGACCGAAATGGTGATTTACATTCGGAAAATAACTATAAATACATGACATTTCTGTACTATATTTTGACACTTTTTTTAGGAATAAAAGTTCCTACCTACTAGTCATTGTCTTCTCTATTGCGGCGTTGCGGGTTCTATCGTTCAAGTAGTCTGTAGTACGCGGCATAGTAAGAATCAAAGCTTTAGATATAACAGAAATATTCAAGACCAATACTGATTTACTTAGACACTGAATAATATCTACAGTTTGCGAGACACTGGTATTCCTCAAGATGTCATGGAAACGGACAAGGTATTTTTGAATACATTGTATCTGGTAGCGTTCCCATCACTTGAAGCGTTAAAGAGCGCCATTATAACTTATAACATTATAACGTACAGCCATTATGCGGTTAAAGATTCTCATTTCCATGGAGATCGGAAGCCGTATTTAACATTTGTATGTTGGAGAAATGACTATAAAACACCTAGCGGTTCCGCACAGCCAAGTAGATGAAGGACGTAAATTGATTGGTGTCAATATATTTTTCATGAAGGACTTTCATCCACACCCACTGTCCGGCCTTCATTTTTTGTAAGTTTATTGAAGGTTATTGGACTGTAGTTTGTGGGAATGTGCATCACAATCACGAGTGCAATTCCCTGAGGTACGACTGTAATAATTGGATGAGCAAATTAAAGAAGGTGGAATTGGAAACAGTGAAACCACTGTTGATATCTGGTACATCAGCATTTAATATTATACACTTCGCTTACCAGTCCTATTGGAAACTTCTTAATGCTCAAGATGTTTTCAATATGCGTCACAAAGTGTTCTCACAGGTCGACCTCCCTGGTAAGTAATGTGCTGTTAACGTTAACGTTAGGTGATTAAGGTAAATTGAAAAATCACATCACGTCACTTGGTGGCCATCGTGATTATCAATTGGATGCAAGTAATTGTCTATCGTATTTCTTCTTAGCAACTGCAGACCAAATTAATCTGTCGAATCGTTTTCTCGATGTTGTTGGTTTCGATGGGACATACAAAACCAATAATAAAAAAATGTTTCTGTATCACGTTGTCGCTCTTGAAATGAATTTCATGGCAATTCCCGTTTGTATCACATTTATAAGTCGCAAAACATTGACTTTGCTTTCCCATTTCCTCTCGTTCTTCCGCCGGTGGGGTAACAATAGAGAGGTGATTGGTATTGTTACCGATGATTCACCTGCTATAACTGCTGCCATAACGTAGGTGTATCCGAATTCACACCACCTTTTGTGCCACGTGCACTTACTCAAAATGTTGTTAAGAGGGTAGGCTTTCCTTTCTTTGGCATTAACCCATTCACCTTATTCGTAGAGGCTCCGATCTTGTCTTCTTCAAATATTCTTCCGTCTTATGCTAACTCGAAATGTGGAAAGGTAAATTGAAATATGCATTACAATGTTTTTTTAGCTTCCAGTGGTATCTGTCACTCATTGAAGCAGCTTCTTGATCAAAGCAATACGAATTTCGTTGAGACGACCTATCGAATTATTAAGTTACATAGGCTGAACAGATCGATATTCAGTATGCTGTTTCGCACTAGATATTGGATGGAAGCGCGAGTTCAAAAGTACTCTTCTGATTGTCGTAGCAGAGCTGTTCTCGGTCGGGAGCCACAACCACTTCGTCTTCAGGAAAGACATACACCTGCTGAATGTCAACTACGTAAGTAGCACTTGCGTAATCCTGTGACTGACTCTGTTTAGTCGGGGGACTTGTTGAGGGCTGTTGACGCTACACGCACGTACACAGTCTCGAGAAATCCCATAACTTGTTCGTGTGCTTTTTATATAGAAAACGGAGTCCCATGTCATCACATCTTGGCATACTGTAACACAGAAATCAATACCGAAAGTATTAGCGACAGATGGCTGCATTCCAACAGCTATGTAACCAGCATAGCGATAGACAATGACTTTCCTGTACAAGTCTAACAGACCAACGTCCGAACATCAATTAACTGCTTACTCAGGCGTATGTCCGACGGATCATCTACCATTGTTTATAGCTGTGCTCATCAGGTGCTTCACGGTGGAATACCTTCAGCTACATTGACCTTGTCTACAGCGGACGGCTTTCCGACCGATGCCTTCAGTTCTACAGACATGGCAATGCCCATCGTCTAACATACGTCATGCATAAACCATCAAGAAAACGTATAGTTGCAAGCAACTTTTAGTAACGACGAGGGTGAAGTACTTTCTATGAACTCAGAAGAGTTTATAGAACGTGACTACGAAGAAGACGAACGTGAGCACAATGATAGGCAGTGTAACGTTTACAATCTATCTCAGTCGCCCAGTGAAATCGCTAATGGAAGTGCTTGGATTTTTTGTCCATGCAGTGATATGTTTCATTGGTTTTGTGATTACGACCAATCACAAGTATTCGATGGGTTCCACTGTCCTAAGTGCGGCGCTGTTTCGAACTCATAGTCAAGCCATTGCTCAGGACAATACGAACTGTGAAGAGATCGAGTAATGCCCTTTTCAGGGCCACTCAAAATTTGATTTAAATTTTTTGTTTCCATTCCTTATTTCTATGGCAAAGATCGAGTCATGAAACTATAAAGGATTCATTTTGCATTCTTATGATTTTTACCTTAATAAAATGTTGACTGAATAAGTGAGAATTATTCACATTTTTATTTTAAATGTCAAACGATTTGATAGTTCAGTCAGTATGGTATTATCATTATTGATCAGTATTTGTTCACCTGACCTTCCCCATAGGAATAATGCTGTAATACTAGTGAACTAAGCTCAGCACATTCGTCTACAGAAACTATGTAAAAAAATCATAGGAATGTAAAATGAATTTTGGTACATAGTGTAGTTTATGTAGCACTGGTAGGCGCCAGACTGATAGGTCCTGGGTTTGAATCTCGCTAGGCCAAGTCATGGATACGCACTACTGAGGAGTCTCACAATAGGAAAAAACCGCCATCCAGTGCTTCCAAGTTTTTCCCGATGGCCTAGCTTCAGATTTATGTCTCCATTTCGATTATTATTTCAATGGTAATTCATTTCTCCGTCATATTGATAACTGATATTTATACTCTCAATAAAAGTAATATTTCAAGTCAAAAGTTCATTGGAAAAAAGAAGAAAACAGCTGATCTATACTTTATTAATATACCATAAATCTGAAATCTAATTGATGATATAGAATCATATATATAGTATCTATACTGACTTACATGAACTAATACTATAATCAGATTGAAACATTCCATCATAGAAATCATATAAATATATGAATACTAACTATTCAATCCATCAATTCTTGGCATCCATTTGAATTCATGTCCAAAGCATCAACAACAACAATCAATGTTATTGGAGCTGGTCTTCCAAGAACCGGTACAAGTAGTTTAAAAATGGCATTAGAAATACTTTTCCATCAACCATGTTATCATATCACTGAAACAGTAACGAAAAACTATTATGATATAGGGAGATGGCAGAAATTACTTAATGAAGTTCAGAAGATCAACTTGAATGAAACAATGATCTATGAAGGTTTAAATGAAATATTAAATGGTTATACATCAGTAACAGATATTCCAGCATGTGGATTTTATAAAGAACTGATGAGGGTATATCCTTATTCAAAGGTATTATATTAGTGTTAATTTTGAAATTGTTTTGTTGTAATTTATAAAACATAATGTAAATAATGGCTCAGTTACTTATTTACTTACGTCTGTTATCCCTCGTGGAGGAGGAGCATAAGCCGAACTCCAGGATTCTCCATTCTAACCTGTCCTGGGCAATCCTTTCCAGTTCTAGCGAGGTGGGATAGTGGATGCGCACTACTGAGGAGTCACACAATAGAACGAAACGGCCTTAAAGCAGTGCTTCCAAGTTTTCCTTTGTGGTCTAGCTTCAATTGACTCATGACTTCAATTATGAAAATTCTTTCCAGTTGTTATTGATTCTTGTCCTATCCGCTTGTGTTTCCCAGTGTAACGTGTTCTTTGGCCTTCCTCTTTTCTGCTTCCCTTCCGGATTCCAAGTTAGGGATTGCCTCATGATGTATTTTGGTAATTTTCTTAATGTATGTCTGATCCACTTCCGATATCGTTTCCTAATTTATTCTTCAGTTGGAAGCTGCTTTGTCATCTGTGATAAAACGCTGTTGCTGATAGTATCCGGCCAGTGGATGTTGAGTATTTTGCGTAGACAACTGTTTATAAATATTTGTGTCTTCTTGACGATGGATTTAGTAGTTCTCCACGTTTCAGCTCCGTACAGTAGGACTGTCTTGACGTTCGTTTTGAAGATTCTCACTTTGAAGTTAGTTGACAATTGTTTTGAGTTCCATCTGTTCACCAATTGTAGGGACGCTCTTCTTGCTTTAACAATCCTCGCCTTTACATCTGCATCAGATCTTCTTTGTTCATAAATGATGCTTCCTAGGTACGTGAATGTTTCTAAATCTTCCAGAGTTTCTTCATCAAGTCTGACTGGGTTGGTGTAAATAACGAGATTATTTCAATGTCTGTATGCATTAGATGTATAGTTAGTTGTATTCAATCAACTAAAAGATCACATTTGGATGGATATAGAATACTTTACTTACTAAATTTTTCTATTGAAAGATAGCAAGAAAAGTATGGTTCAGAGCTTGAACAAAATGAGTAATAATGTTTTGATTGTTATTCATGTTATATCTAGAGCTTTTATTCTTGCTATGCCACGTACTACTACTACTAAGTAGTGATGTTATTTCCGAAACAGTGTCAAATACAGCACAAAAATCTCATATATTTATAGTCTTTGGCTGAAAGTAATCGTCATTTCGGACAGCCACTAGGGAATCTGCACGTCGACATTCTATAATGTTCCCCTAGCGGTGATTGGATGGAATGTCTTCAGCTCTTTCTGGATTTGCTGAGGCTTCGTTGAGTTTGCTGATGAGCCATCCTTCTTCTTCTTCGTCTTTTCTTTCCTTCAGTCAACTGTTCTTTTCACGGTGTTTATAACTTCTTTAATATAGAATGTATTTATGAATTCAGTATCTAAGCATTAAAGTACATTATTTGTCATCATTCGCTATGATAAATCCCTGTCACCACGGTTTAAATTGAAGTACGTTATTCAGTTATTTGTATTCAATATGTATTTTACTTGAGTTTCTGGTGGATAGCCACTTGCTTGTGCATTTGGGTGAAATTTAAATTCACTGGGTGGATAACGCGATGGAGTTTAAAGCGAACGGTAATGGGTTCGAGTCCCGGAGTGAATATCAACTCTGAGATGCAGGTACATTTAGCTGACGAGTCCAAAACTGGACGATACGCGCTTCCCAGATTCCACAGTTAGTCACTGTCTATTTTCGCTTATAATGCTTGTGATTTAAGACTATATCGAGGCAATACGCGCAGTATGCACATATGGCCGATAAGAGAAAGACTTATCGGTTGCAGTCCTAAACATCAATGGGAAGATTCAAACAAACAATACTAAATGAATTTAAACTTCACGCCATTGCACAAGCAAGTGGTTTTCAGGACTAAGTGACCAAGTGGATAACGCGATGGCGTTTGAAGCGAAAGATACTGGGTTTGAGTTCTAGAGTGAACATCAACTCTGAGATACAGTTACATGCAGCTGATGAGTCCGGAATAGGATAAAACGCACGTCCTGGATTCCACTGCTGGCCACTATCTATCTTTGCATATAAATGAAAAATAATTGGTAGATTCTTGGAAATATACTTACTTACCCAAGTGCCAACGAGTACAGTAATTGAAGCCTACTCCTCATTTTCTTCATGACATGAATGCATCAAGAAATAATAAACTACTTAAAATGTGGTCAGTAAAAGATACTGTAATCTTGACACAGTAATCTAAGTACATTGTATGGATTAAAAAGATAAGAATTCTGTCACATGAAGTCGTCCATATTCGGAGAACCATGTTCTGGACATTACTGTAATGATTATATTGTGCACTTTGAATTGATTCATTTTCATCTGTCAATTAGTGTAACATCGGTTTATCTTGAGTAGTATAGTGCTTTTATTTCAGTGTTGAGACTATACCGTATTCCAGGCTTGTTATGTTTAGTCAGGCCTTATTTAGTGAAGGTAATTGGCTTTCTTGAAATGATTTCCGTTTCTCAAGGCTTAGAAATCGACTGAATGAGTGTGATTTCGTGTGGAAATCATTAACCCGAAGTCTTGGCGCATGGATGTCACACCAGGGGCAAGTATAGTCTACATGCATACAAGTAACATGTATGTTATCACGCATACATTCCTTGGCATACACATACGTATACTAACCGTGTAAGCTAATATATGTTAAATGAACATTAGTAACACATACTGTTTTTATCCCATGGCAAAGAAGTAGGTATATTCACTCTCTTGAGAGGATAGATGGTGACTGACCGCTTTGAACGTATTTGATACAGCTATCTGTCACTTACTCATTACATTGATATCACTGTTACATAGGCTTTAACCCCTGAAGTTTATGACAGATATGTCAGCATTAGCACTGTTCCAAGGAAGGTCGATAGTCATATATCCCGGTATCTGCAACTATATTTTTGTTACGTCTTCGATCTGGAGGAATGGGTTGCTGGTTTTATTAGACTTGGGGCAGACACATTTCAGATTACATTTCTTGTGCTTACCCACCCGCGTACGCTTTGCATATACCATACAAACCGAGGCATTCGCAATTCATATACATAAGTATAGTAATTTGACAGCTTGCAAGATTTTAGATAGTCTCGAAAAACGTAACCCAGTAAATCCAGTTTACAGCACAGAAGTGGGTAATCCCGATCTTCACCGACCGCTTAAGTTGGCTACCAAGGTTGCTCATACTACAGAGCAACATTGTTAAGAAGCCTTATGTTGCACCTTGCTGCCACTAAGACTGTTACTTATTTTGTGCCTCTAATCTTAGATATTCGTGGATATTATACAAAACGAATAACCACCGGACATTATGGATTGAAATGAAATAAACTTGGGCCTCCATGGTTGTACAAGTGGAATCTGTTCACACAGACTTGCTTTCTAATCAAGTCTTACCATGGCTACATTGATACAAATTGTACGGCCATGGGTGACTTCTGGTAAATTAAAAATATTTTTGAATGACAGGATTAATCGCATCTTGTGTAGGAGATCATAAACTTCAATAATCTTTTCTTTTACAACATCATCGAAGGCACTCTTTCTGAGATGGTGGAGAAGATTTGTAGCTCGTGTGGGTGATTTTGATGGATTTTTGTTCTCTGAGCTGGGTGGTTTGGTCATGGAGCTTTCAAACACTTCACTTCTACTAGAAGTTTGTGTTGTTGATGATGTCGTTCAGAAGGGCGATGAAAGCTCTACGACCAAACAATCCAGCTCAGAGAACAAAACTCCATCAAAGAGGCACTCTTTCACATGACGGAAAATGTTACTTGATAATGCATCCATGCGTCCAAACCTACATTCGGATTAATCTGACGATTGTAAATTGACCGATCACTATATAGCGACCAATGTGAATATCTCAATTGTACAAGAGATCCATCATAACCTGAGTAGCCTGAGGACAATATTTCACACTATGACTGAGGTTGATGTAAGTTCGAGTGTTACAGAGACTAACAGTTTTCTCAAATTTTCTGGCAACTATATTTGTCCCAGTAGTTATGTCTATCGATCTTAGAGAAGTTCAGCTTATCACATTACTAAACAGTCATTTCACTTGTATGTTGTTCCATGTTTTAGGTTGTATTGACAATTCGTGATAAAAACGACTGGTTGTCTAGTTTACGTCAAACAATAATACCGAAAACCAATCATTCACACACACTAGTGGTGGATAAAGTCAAGCAAATACTGGGACTTGATGAAGACTTCGTTAAAATGGCATTTGATTCACTGAAATTTGCATTTCGTAAACGTGAAATTGACTTCGATGATGATACAGTACTATTGGAATGTTACGATGAATATAATGAAATGGTAGTTGACAGTGTACCATCTAAGCGTCTTCTAGTACATAAACTTGGAGATGGTTGGGAGCCATTGTGTAAATTTTTGAATGTGAATGTACCTCATTGTATACCATATCCTCATATCAATGATCGGAATGAAACATGCATACGTGTTGACTTGCTCAAAAACATTGGTATCCTCTGAGACCGTTAGACCACATTGTTTTGGAAGAAATCGTGGAGTCTGATGTTTTTCAGATGTTTTGTAGAATATCATTGAACAGATCAAATAACTTTATTTATGGAATAAAAGACTGAATAACTTTGAAGACTTGTTTTGTATAATTGTGGCGTATCATTCAGAAACATTCATAAAGCCTACATTCATTACTGAGTAGGTTAGTTGGAAGATTGACATAGTTTGCGAGAACACATCAACATGTCATCTATAAGTCCCGCAACAATGATTTAATATCTGCGGTCTATCTTGTTACTTCGAGAGTTTACAAGTTTCAACTGAGTAAACATCATAAAACTTGAAATTAAGCTGAATTTTGCACTGCTTATATGAATTTCAGTGTATACATTTCGTTTGATGTTTTTTTCGGTAATAGACTTATCTTTTATATATAGTTGAAATCATGAGTCAATGGAAGCTAGACCACCATGGAAAACCTGGAATCACTGGACTGCCGTTTCGTCCTATTTTGGAACCCCTCAAGATATGAATTTCTTTAACTATAAACTTCACTAGACTCGAAGTGTTGACATATCTTAAGAATGAGCTTAGCGTTCTTTCAAACTGAAGTCTTTTCAGGAGTGCACACTTTTTAACTAACCAGAAATTTAGTTATGAATTTCGAAGTATAACGATGAGGAGTTAAATAAACGACAACCACCAAATACCATGAAAGGTGATTGGTACACTACAAAAATACTTGAACCACACAGGTGATGGCTACACATTCAGGCTTTAGGAAATAAAATGGAGCCAAGTCACCAAATGCGTACATGATTACAGCTTTTATATAGTTGATCTATGTTGAAGTGACACTTAAAATTACAAATCAATTAATCGCTATGGTGAGTGTTATCGTCTCATAGAATGAATCTTCACAATTTGTTTAAGTCAATCGATCCGTAATAGATTGTAATGTTGACAAATTGCTGATCTTTCACAAGACGATTTTGTTTCATTCATTGTAGATTGCTTTTTTGCATATCTGAAGGATCGTCACAGATTGTCATATATCAAGTTCATTAGTTCGATAAATGATTCCAGTACATGAATTTATTATTCCGTCTGGTTACAATGGAAATATTGGTGATTACTGATCATCATTATATTTAGTGTATGTTGTATGTTGATTTGCAGTCTATAAGGCTAGTTGATTTATTAAATTTGAAAAATTTCGGATGCTTGCAGTCCCCCTTCCTCTTTCTCCTAGTGGTCGACTGCATTATGAGGACATCAACATCTAAGGGAAAGCACGGAATACAATGGACATCTCAAAATCAATTAGACGATTTGAACTTCGTAGATGAACTAGCCCTTCTATTCCATACACACCAAATTGTGCAGATGAAGGCAACTAGTGTAGCAGCAGTCTCTGAACCAGTAGGCCTCAACATACACAAGGGAAAAAGCAAGATCGCCAAATACAACACGGAGAACACCAACTCAATTGCAGTTGTTGGAGAAGCTCTGGAATATTTGGAATCTTTCATGTACCTTGAAAGCATAATCGATGAACGTGGAGGATGTGATGCAGAAGTAAAGGCAAGGAATGAGAAAGCAAGGAGAGCATTCCTGCAGTTGAAGAACATATGGAAATTAAAACAACTGTCCGCATGCCAGCATCAAAGTTACAATCCTTAATGTGTTGATTAGGTTTCTAGTAGTGAGTAGGACTTCTCTAGGAGAGGCTATATAAGCGTGGTCATGTGAGAGCATTTGAAGAGGGAGAGCGGACTCTTCACTTTCTCGGCCGTACCAGGGCATTAGGGGGTAGTGTACATGTAGGATAAAAGAAAGCTCAAGGAAGCTGATTTCTGATTTAATCTCAGTCTATGATATAATTGAATTTTAGTCCAACTTATGTTGATCATTATTGACAACGTATTTGATATTCATTACTGTCTCCGAGAAACTAAATTACTGATTGATAATTTAATTGAAGATTTTTCTATTTACCTTTCTGAATGTTCATGAAATTCAAACTGAAGATGCCACAGGTATTCAGAGTTTGATAACGCTTTAACCAGTAACATCTTCTATCATGAATCGTAACAACTACGTGAAATCAAAAGACAGAAGAAAGGGGGTTTGAAGATATATTTGATAGGTTATCAAAAAATCTTGGAACGAATGATCTAGGTTGGCTAGTGATTGCAGGGTTTGTTGAGCATAGCGTTTTCACACGTGATCTGGTGCGGATGCATGACCGACAGCCTTCAGCTAAATGAGCCAATTAAAATTAATGTGGTCAGCATCAAATGTTGAAGACTTACAGAGCTATTGATTTTGGGGATTTATTCACGCTACAGATCACTCACTCTCTCCAGTAGGGTGGTGATGACCCGAAGACATAACCAGCCAGAAGTTTAAATCCAACTGGTTAATCGTTTGTCAACACTCTTCTGATAGGTTGCTATGTTTAGCAGCCTCTAGACGTCTTTCCATACTATAATGAACTATGAAGTTCAATATGGTAATAAGGAAACAATGTACAACCGAGATGCTGGTCCCTTGGAAACTCCATCGTTATTTTCATCGCCTTTTCCAGTCGTCTTGAAAAAGAAAAAATAACATGTAAGTGCATTTTGAAATCACTCGTATGCGCGTAAAGACACAAAGCGGGCGAAAAAGGCAAATAATCTCATACACATACGATAGCGTGAAAGCGATTTTTAGAGATTTTTTTTGGTTATGTGTTTTAGAAAAAAAATTAAATATAAACGTTTTAATAGTGGAGATCATCAGTCAAATAAAGGTAGACCACCATGGAAAACTTAGAAGCAATGAACAGCCGTTTCGTTTTATTATGGAACTCCTCAGCAGTGTGCATCCACGATCCCGCCTTACGAGATTCGAACCCAGGACCTGTTAGTCTTGTGCTTGAGCGCTTAACCACTAGACCATTGAGCCGGCCGGCATCAAACAATGTTAATGTCTAACTTCAACCAATCCACAAAATTGAGCAACCATTCGTCAATGTCTACAGTGAACTGATATCTCTCAACAGACCTGATTGAACTCCACTGGTTACTTCTTCTCACTAGAACTCCAGGAAATACCTCATGGAGTCAGTCACTAGTGAGCATATGATCATTATCAAAATGGGAAATTTATGTAAACACTTGCTGTGGTTTATGCTGATGACGTCGACAGATATGAATAGTATGTATTATCAATCAAAAGTGAAATGTCTGGTGACAGAAGGTTTAGAAGATCGAAGAGAAAAGAATGAGGACAAAAAAATGTTTACTATGGAAACGAAGGAACAATGAAGTCTGAAACAATGGATTGACATTTCACCAATAAAGTATTTACTGTATGATATTCAGATGAATATCAAGAATAATAACAAAATCAGATCTTAAATGTTATACTGAATAAAATTTACGTCAATGTAATCCAAAGAATTTTGTATGTTCGATAAATATAACACTGAGATGATTCAGTTTAGAATTGAAATATCACATCACACAAAGGAACAGATATGAAGGGACAAATGGAAGAAGTTGAAAACATTTCAAAAAAGGATTCTTTAACCAATTGCACAATACCAATCAGCAAAACACATACTCACAGTTTCTTAAACTAGCATGCTTCACTCAGTCATCATCAGCTGCTTTTGTAATCTTTAGACATTGATAACGAATATTGAATATGGATGACTGTTCAGTAAAGATTTGCGACAAAATATCAATCGTTTCATCAAAAGAAAAATATTTTGGATTCTTTGGAAGGTTGAAATAAGGGTAGTGTTCATGTTCAACTGTGCCAAGATTTCTTAAGTGTATTCTGACCTTGGCGGCGTCATCAAGTTTTCTGAATTTTGAACCAGGTTTCAAAAGTAATACCAGCTGAATAATCGAAATTAAATTCATGGATAGAATTAATAATGTGAACGACATGAGATTTCAAAGGATCATCTTTAACCTCATTTTGATTTAGGTTTAAACGTCTGGTTAGAGCCTCCATAATGAGAACCTGGAACTATTCGCAACGTTTTTCTTGACGCTCCAACAAGGTTTCCAATTGTTCAATGGTAAATGACATCTAGATAAGATAACCCAGTCACCAGTTGTCATATCTCGAACTTATATTCTTAGTATCTCGCGAAATACTTGAGCACTCGATTGTTAGAACTCTCCAAAGTCGCAAAATGAGAAGACAGATGACAAGTAGAGGAAATGTTATTCTCAAAACAGTTTCCAAATATGGCACAAAACTGTCAGGTGTTTATAGTTTTTAGTAGAAACGAAATCATCATTAAAGTTATCCAATCCGCACGCAAGGGGCCATTAACATTGTCCAATAGGGAAGCTACACGCAGTGATTCTGGAATATTCTTCCAAAAGCTGATTGGATGGAATATGTTCGGCTCCTTTTGAGCTTCTTAGAACTTCTTCAACTTCACCTGTGGTCTGTCCTCACAGTAATAAATAGTTTACTTAGTTTATAGTTTACTTACAACTGACGGATCATTGGTTAGTGACCAATTTTATGTTTGTCTAGTCATTTAGTGCTGTCGAAATTTTACAGATGAAGTTGTAGTACGGTCGCTAGTTTAACTGATGATATGGAGTGTACGATGTTGAAATGTTAGTTGGTTGAAGATAGTCAACTGGAAGTCATATTCTACTTAAGAATCGAGCTTGTTTATGAAGAAAAACAAGGTCAAAGTAAAAACTTGAAGATACTGATTCTCCCTGTTTGATTCAAAGCCAAATTATGAACCTTTGAAGTTGGAGTTGTATTCACTGAAGAATTCGAGAATGGAATGACGTACTGTATCAACAAGATCCTGCGCGATTACTGTTTTGTAAACATTATCTTTGATGATGAGTGCTGAATATGTCTTATGATAAAAACGTTCAATCACGTATCGATAAAAGATCAAGCAAAGAGGATTGTAGATGTCTAACAATGTAAACAAAGATCAATATCTTTCACGATTGTCGATTCCTTAACGAAGTACAGGTTAGTTTATTTGATTTTAAGACGCATGATCAAGCTGTGGTCAAGTTATAATACTTAAGTGTCTAAATCAAACCAGATGGATTGTAGTTGAGACTTGTAAATTACTGGCTGAAATTGAAACACCTCAATCACTGTACTATCACTAAATATCAAAATACCATAAACTACATTGTGGTTTAAGATAGTAAACGATTTCATTGTAGACTGTTAAGTAATTCAACACCATGATATGATAATGTTAGGGATGTTAGGTCCCCAGAACTCACTTGGTAAGTACATTATTTTTGTAAATTTATTTTGAAATTTTGAATTTCTTTGTTTTCGCGCCACAAGCGCTCTTTTCATCTTTATGTCATATTTCCCATTTGGTAAAGTCTTAAACCCTATTGGTCCTTTATGTGTTTTAGTAAGCTATTTTGTAACACTTTTCAAGGACAGTTTTATGTTGTATATGTATGTTTAGTTAGTGCCTGTTGGATCACTTGTGCTTCTGGCTGCTTGCGAAATACATTTATTCTCCGTTCGGACTTCGTCTTCGCTCCCTAGTTAGAGGGATTGGGATGTATCAGAATAGCTAGTTAGTTGGCTTTTGGTAGCGAGTCTTTGTCACGTTCGCAGATTAGGTGAACTAGTAATAGTATCAAGCACATCAGTTAATGATAATTTATCTTGGTTGAATAGAATACATTAATTTACACGTACAGTGATAAGTTGAATTATACTTATTAGTAAGTCACTATAGTACAATTTCTGCATATTCATATTTCTAATCTCCAGTGCTGACTACCATCCATTTATACATAGTGATCACGTGACTGGAATTACATGTATACCAGATAATCCTCTTTTAAAATGTTTGCACACTGTGATAACACGTTTTCAGCATTTAATCCGTCTTTAACGATCATCCGTGTGCTGATCGTATATAAATATCAGCAACCAGATTCATGTAACGTACATATCTCATGGCTGACATTATGTCAGAAACTTCAACATCATTGTTAGTTATTGGAGCTGGTCTGCCAAGAACCGGAACGAAAAGTTTAAAAAAAGCACTGGAAATAATCTACTGTAAACCATGTTATCATATGATTGAAATTGTGACCAAAAAGCATTGTGATATTGGCAAGTGGCAGACACTGTTCACTGAGGCTCTCAACATGACAACTGATGAAACCATGATACATAGAGGTTTGAGTGAAATACTGGATGGTTATGTAGCTGTGACTGATGTTCCAGCATGTGCATTCTACAGAGAGCTGATGAGTATACATCCAAATGCAAAGGTAGGATAAATGGTATTTTGTTATATGTTACGATTTTTGATAAGTGGTTGATATTCCAATCGTCGATGACATAATTAAAAGCAGAGATGATTTATCATATTATCATTTCATTCCAACGTAACAATGCCATCCACAACTGACTGCATTCCGATCTGGCATGATCACAAACGGGATGAAATGGATTTGACAATCACACAAATGGATGTATTAGTTTGTGTTTCATCACTCAATCACCAGTACACCTCACACATCAGTCACTAAATTTGTCAATAGGTGATGAATTTCCCAATTCACTGAATATCTCATGATTTGCTGGTTCCACTTGTTGAACATTGATCATCAGATTTGGTTTATGGATCTTGACATTGACATCATTCAATGTACACTTATATGAATGTGGGCTCAAAACGATTGATTGCACGAATAACAATAAGGATTGTGAAAGTAGCTTTCAATCAACACTCATTGAGCTGTTTCCCTCTCAATAAATATCTCGATTTTGTATAGTTGAGATCATGAGTTCATTGAAGCTAGACTACCGTGGAAATCATGGAAGCACCGGACGGCTGTTTTGTCCTATTGCTGAACTCCTCAGAAGTGCGGATTCACAATCCTAGCTCGCAAGATTTGAACCCAGGACCTAACAGTCTCGCACGCGAGCATTTAACCTTTAGACCACTGAGTCGGCCGGCATCCAACGATATTAATGTCTAACTCCAACCAATCCATGAAATCGATCAATTTCAACATTTTTTTGTAACGTTTTAAACACATTTTGTAGAATTGTTGTCAATATCTTCACTGTTTATTAAAGTTTATATTTGTCTAAACGCATTTACTAGTTACTTGGATATGAGTTACACCTTCAATGTAACAGCTAACCAATTGGGAGTCCAGTTAAATACAGATGATCAAAATCTCCTACATTCGACTATCAATTTAATTTACAAACTGTAGATCAGTATTGTTTATAATATTGTGTAATTATAGAAAGTTGTCACTAAACCGTAGAGTCTCGATGCTTAAATTGTTCAACGGATATGTTGTTACTGCTAAGCGGTTTGTTACGTTCCATTGTTGATATCGACGACTGCAGATGATCAGTCTCAATTGTCACCTGCAACGATACTGTTTATCAATGTGATCGTTATGGAATAGAGACTGACCATTTACTGTCTTGAATATCAACAACGTGAGGTAATATATTCTTACTACTTCTTACCTAAGCACGCCTGATTTGTTTATGTTTATATATATCTGTATATTCGACAAATTACATATGCTTATGACTTTAGCATTAGTATTTTGTCTGTTTCAGGTCATATTGACTGTGCGTGATAAAAATTCTTGGTTATCTAGTGTACGACATTCAGTATTGCCGAAATCAAACGATTCATACAGTCAGAGACTAGATAAAGCGAAGCAGGCATTGCATCTTGGTAACGAGATAAACAAAATGATCATGGATTCACTGAGATACGCATTTCAGGAAGATAATCTAGACATCGATAATGATGAAGTTCTACTTGAGTGTTATGAGAAATATAATAAAATGGTGCAAGAAACTGTACCATCTGAACGTCTCCTAATTCATAAGCTCGAAGATGGTTGGGAACCATTATGTCAATTTTTAAATGTTACTATACCAGATGGAATAGCTTATCCACATGTCAACACTCGTGATCAGATAAAAGAACTGATGGAACTAATAGGGAAAAATGCATCACCTGAGGAGTTAGAGGCAATTTTTCCGGAATTTCATGATGTCAAATTCGGACAGTTATGAGATATTGAGTTAAATGTCGCTTATACATTTTGCAGTAAAATAAACGTCTGATGAGCATTTCATTTGTTACCTAATTTGAATCGTCTCATTTAATATGATCATACTTATATAAAGGTCACTGAGTCCTTATAAGATTCACCAAAACTGTCAAGTGTTTTTTGAATACTAAACTAGATAACTTCTGTATCACTGGCCTGGAGTTTGTTCCTTGATTAAAAATGAACCTCCATTCCACCATGTTGAAAACTTCACAGCTGTTCATGTTAATTGATAAATGATCGGTTGATGATTCGTAATTTTATTTATTTATTTGAACACATAAATATTGGTACACAGGGACACCAGATGCATATGCGCCACACGAATCTCAGTTCATTTGTGTGAGGACTGTGATGCTGCCCGAAAGCTCAAACTGAAGCATGTTGTTTTCTTAGTGGGTCACACCCGAAGCCTTTGACCTAGTGGTATGACTCACAAGTCAGTGGAGTATCGTGAGGAGATTAAGTACCTTGGTAGCCGATGACCATCGATTGATTCATACGCCATTTGTTCCTTCAGGGTACTGGAGCCAGCCCATGTGCACCACTTGTTTGGAATTAGTGTTTTCCAACTCCCCTAGACGGACACTCCGTGGTCAAAACCCGGTTAAAGCGCCGGCTATTCACTTTTCGTCCTCTAGGTTTCCTAAACAACACTTCCGCCACTAGAATGCAGTGAGTAGAACTTTCCTGTTAGAGGCTATATACGCGTGGCCATGTGATAGCATTTCGAGAGGGCGAGCGGACTATTTCCACTCTAGGCCGTACCACGGCCTTTGGGAGCTATATGACTATATTTTATATGACAGTTTGTCCAAGATCTATTCATGTTTGTATTTTTTTTAAACATTCTGCAAAGAACACAACATATGGATTGATTCCGTGGAGAAAGTGATTGATTAGGTCAGATTTTAAAAAAAATGCTGACATACCTACTTATCTTCGCCCATGTGCAATACGCTATATCCAGTACGTTGTTGAATATCTAAGAAACATACAAAGATTGACGAGTATACTACTGATTTAACACTAGATATGTTGTGACTTACTAACACAGTGACGCCAGTTGCCATTAACTCACTAAAATGATCTTTGTTCTAATGATCTTCATTCATTTATTTAAATATCACTGTCAAGCTGGACCATATTTCTACGGATACGCCTACTAAATAATGATAGCTAACTCACTGACGTAAAAACTATGTACACAATGTGCAGAGATTCTTACAAATAAATTGTCATGTTACTGTGAGGGATTCTCGGTGATAGATCTCTCTGTATGAATTTTTTGCTAGCCCTCATACGTTACTGGTCATCAACTCCACATCAAAGACTGACTTTTCAACTCATAATATTTTTTACATAGTTTGCTGTACTGTATATAACTGTGTTTATCTCTGGTCACCAACATGTGAGCCTTGCCAAAGATTTCATTTTCTCAACACCTAAATATCCGCTATGAAGATCTTCAAGAACAGATTTACATACTCAATGAACTATAACAACACCATCATTTACACACGAAATACCATCAGGAGCAGTAGACAATTCATCCTACTTTGCAAAGTATGCAGGAAATTTACGTTTCAGATTAGCATTACAACCTTTCCGTATAGCACTGAGTATACATCCAAAGTTTCTACGAGTTTCTCTAGTAAGATCTGGACGTCTCAACGGTAAAGGTTGCACCAACAAATAGTCTTAAGCATAAACAGGTCTATCTTGCAAAAAATGTCGAGAAATGTTGTTAACGTGTTGAATTTCTTGAGCACTCCCGTGCTGAACCGTATATTCATAGACACTAAAAACAATGCTCGATCGCTGAAGTTCTTAAGGTTGATAAATGAACTTTAAAGTGACAATGGTAAACTTATTTCAAAATAAATAAGTATGAAGTCTTTAAATTGCCCAAAACACAGCTAATGCTTCTGGCCGCATTTGTGAATAGCCTTATTCCGTAAAAGTAAGATTGCATGAAACACAGATAACTGGTCTATTTTTCTGCTCCAAAACTGCACCGATCCTCATAGGTGATGCATCAGTAATAATCAAAGAATGTGCACTGGGTGAGTAGGTTCGAAAAACAGCATCACTATGAAGAAACTTTAGCAGGCTTCGTAAGTATGGCTTTTTTCGTTGCAAAAAATCACTGCATATACACGTCACAATATATTGAAGAGCACCCACTAGTGAATGTATTACTGTAAGACATTTTGAAGGCGGTGCATTTGTCAGTAGATCTAGTCGTTTCATATCTGATCTTTAACCATTACCATCAACTGAGTATCCAAGGCATTTGAAACTAGATACACAAAATGGAAACTTATTTCGATTCACTGTAATATTCTTCTCAGTTAAGCGACACAATAAAGCAATGTCTTTGCTCATAAACTAACTTATCAGTACCATGAACAATGAGATCATCTTGATAATCTTCAACACTTTCAAGACCACTGACTACCGTATTCTTAACTTCCTGAAATATGACTGGAGAACAAATTAGACCAAATGAGAGGAAATTGTATTTAAACAGACTAAGAAGCGTATTGGTTGTTACAAAATTAGATGAAGATTGATCTAAAAGGACCTAAAGATAGGTATCTTTTAAGTCAACTTCCGGGAACACTTTAGAACCATGAAGTCGATTTTGAATAAATTTAGCCCCTACCATCACGCAAGTCTGCTCGAAGAAACGGGAGTTCAGTGTTATTCCATAGTCACCACATATTCTGGGGTCTTGTCATCAGACTTCAATGGCTTAACAATAGGAGTACCACATACTGAAGTCTAATTGGGTTCAGTTATACCTATCGCACACAAATCTTCCAATGCCTTATGTAGTGTTTCTCGAAGACCATTAGGAATTATTTGTCTTTTCAGAGAGTCTGGATCGCCATGTACTTGAATTTTCATTGGTTGAGTTTTAATATCTCTACTACACGAAGCACACACAGCTATCAAATCTTTAAGCAAAGCATCAGAATTCTCTGTAAAAAATGATGAAGACTACTCTATTGTAAACCTTTTCAAATATTTTGAACCCAGTATTGAGAGTCCTGATTCGCTAACTAAAAATTCACAAGGCTTGTATGAAGAACTATTGTAGTGCCGTGCTTCGATCATAGTTCGCTTCGATAACCGTTATTAATACCAATCTTAACGGTGTATAATATCAGAAGGCAAATGGAAGCGGCAACTACATTTTTATTGATAATCGATGCAGACCAGAAAGTTGTAAGCACATGAGCAACTGTAAGCAAGCGAAGCAAAGATGATGCGTATTGGAGATGGCTGGGAAGCCAACTCATTTTAAGCAAGTGTTAACTAACATTTATAGGCAGGCAAAAATGAGTGACAGACATATGATGAATAAGATACGAAGTGTACACATATGCGCTCATATAAAAAGTACTCAAGGTTAATAAGCAAATGATTAACAAGATCAAAAGATGACTCAATGTACAGGTGAATTGGCTTGGCCAGTAACTAGAATAAAGTATATGGGCCTAACATATGAACTGGTACTACATAGCTCCCTTGTAGAAAATAGCACATTTATAAAAAAATGTCTGTTTTCGAAAAATAACACTGAAGCGGTATGAGGATAACGTCGAAATGTGGGAAAAAATGGTACAATACCTGATGAATTACAGTGTCATGTGAGGGGTGAGCGTATTAAGCGAAAGTGTCATACTTATGTAAAAAGGAACATGAATATTGTCAAAGTGCGGACAAAAATAGGGATGCTAGCATGTGATTATGAGTACATTAGTAAGCGTTCGAAAAAATTTAACATGAATTTATGTAGTGACTGTCCGAATGATAAAATAACATGTTCGTATGAGCGATTTGAAATATAGTGAAAATAGAGTATAACAGTAATTGCTCTGTGGTGCTGATTGAATATGAGGATAAATAACAGTGAAATATGTTCTGATAAGCTGCAGTCGAGTAAATAGAGTCGATTGGCGATGAGTGGATTCGAATTTACACGATTGGAGTTTACGTGGGATAAAAAATAATCCAGCCGTAGGATGATGACTGCATCAACGGTTGATATTCATTGCTGTACTGCAATTGATAATGATAATAAAATGCGAAATCAGCGTATGTTACCGTTTGCGTCGAGTTATCGTTAAATATGTATTAGTAGAATGACCAAAGGAACAGGATAGTGACTGCTGAGACGAGATATGCGGAGTCGTATTCCTCTATGGTCATGCAGCCTAGCGTGGTTTGTGTGGTTAGAGGGATATGCGCTCAACCTCATTTGTTACGAAACCGTATTAAGGCATAACAAAAATACCAATACATATGATTATCGATGACAGTGAGTGAGACTGACTTGAATGAGACGAACAAGAGTGTATCTTTGAGAGACTAGCTCTAAACTCTATGTTCTGGTGTACAGTACAATGGAAATAAAATATTAATTGCAGTAATCGAATTGTGATTATCAGTGATGGATGATGCAGCATTCAGATATACATGTGAATGAATAAATAATATGAACATAATCATTACTAATCGGCTGGTAATGCGGCGTCGAATACTTAATTTGTGTATAGACATTAAAGTAGGGATCATAGTGAAACAAAAATTGCGGAAGTTTGGTTTAGGTTGTCGCTGAAAATGTAGGAAACGACGGTTGCTGCGTACCAATGAAATGAATGAACATTAGTTGTCTATCGAGAACATAAGTTCCTACTATCGGGAGTATGACTCCAAACTTATGTCTATGATAGAGTGTAATATTAGACCGAAAATGACATGAAAAAAAATTGGAACGAACTCACCCGAACCAGGAAAAATTTTCGTCATTGGATAATAAAAATAATCCAGTGAGTTTCGAATATCATAACGTGTAATGTCCATATCATTATAATTTGTTCGATTAGTGACATGACTGCGTAAATGTCATAGTTTAATGTGAATACGAGCAAAAATAATAATTCCACGTTAGATGATGATATGACATTATTGTAATAATGAGCATATGATGATTATTAGAATCAACGAAATATGTCGTCGGCGGTTTCATTTTTGATTTGTGTTCACTCGTTGCGGTTGCCGATTCTGTCGCGTGTTCCAAATACGGCGTGCCAATTATGTTGTGAGTTCGTACGTCGAGGTTGTCGATTCTGGTCGATGTTCGTTCGGCGAGACATCCAATTACGTTTTCGCGTTCGTAAGTCGGGATTACCAGTTTTGTAGTGCCGTGCTTCGATCATAGTTCGCTTCGATAACCGTTATTAATACCAATCTTAACGGTGTATAATATCAGAAGGCAAATGGAAGCGGCAACTACATTTTTATTGATAATCGATGCAGACCAGAAAGTTGTAAGCACATGAGCAACTGTAAGCAAGCGAAGCAAAGATGATGCGTATTGGAGATGGCTGGGAAGCCAACTCATTTTAAGCAAGTGTTAACTAACATTTATAGGCAGGCAAAAATGAGTGACAGACATATGATGAATAAGATACGAAGTGTACACATATGCGCTCATATAAAAAGTACTCAAGGTTAATAAGCAAATGATTAACAAGATCAAAAGATGACTCAATGTACAGGTGAATTGGCTTGGCCAGTAACTAGAATAAAGTATATGGGCCTAACATATGAACTGGTACTACACTATGATCTCTAGCAATGCACAGCATCCTAGTATGGGCAGTCTGTATACAGCGATCCCTAATTTTAAGACTTCAGTGGGTCTTACGACAACGTTGGTATCTACAGATTTCAAGTTCTTGAACGAAATGATGGACTCTTTACTGCATTTGTTCACAATAAAGTTGTGAAATGAACCAAGGGATGTATATAATTGCTTTTAAATATGAATATTACATTTCGAAGCGGTGGATAAGGATATACGGTCATTAGAAACAGCCGGTTTACTGTGATCTAAACTACAAGATTTAGTACTAATTGATGCAAAGTGAACAGTAGTCATTGTGACACCAATGTGATAATGCGGAGTATTTGAATTATAGTACAAACTAGGAATCCCAGAAATAACTCAATTTAACCAAGAAGTATTAGGTGAGCACGAATGAACGTATCGTATTGGGAAATAAAATCAGGCAGTCAACAAGTATAAAGGAAACTTCAGTTCATACAAACACCACAGAATCACAAACTTCAACGAAACAGCCCTTAAATATTCTCAAGTTTCCGACGGCGGTCCAGCTTGAATTGATTCATGAATTCAACTAATAAGGTAATACATCTAGTCGAACAATACTTTTCTCATTTAGATCATCATCGGAACGTGTCTAGTTATATGACATTGATATTTAAATGAATGAAAGTCGCAAGACAAAACAATACCATCTTAGTGAATTACTGATAATAATGACAAAAGATTTTCATGAATAAGTTTAATCAGTAAAATCGTAAGTTTTCTATGTATTGATACGTATAAGATTACGACTACACGTAACTATAAGAATAACTAAACGTAACTTGATCGGATTCACAACCATTTCGATGAATGTTATGGATCAGTCATAGAATAAACCAACTCAGTAGATATGACCATTGTTTGAAATTATCTTTTATCCGAAATGTATGTCTAGACAGTTCGAAAATGTGGATCAATTTCAATGAGTGAAAATAAGCTAAACAATGATAGACATAGTTCGACTTGTCATCTGTCACTTCCCTTCTAACCAACAAAATAACTAAGTTATCATTGACCGATTTGAACACAAGGACTAGGGTTGCGTACATATATAAACAATAATCATGGTTAGACGTATTTAACCATTTCGCATTTGTGGGATATTCCTTCATTCACAGAGATAGCTTAAAGTAAGTTTCATTAGTCGGTAATATAAGATTAATTTTCTAACTGTAATACAACATTGTGATGCACTGATCTTTGTCTTACTGTTTCTCAATTCATATTTTCTTTTATAGTTTAAATTATGTCGGAAACTCGAACATCACTATTAGTTATTGGAGCTGGTCTACCAAGAAGCGGAACGTTGAGTATGAAAAAAGCATTGGAAATACTTTATTCGCAACCATGTTATCATGGATTTGAACTTGTTACCAGAAAACAATGTGACATTGCTAAGTGGCGAACGCTTGTCGATGAGGTACGAACAACACGTCGTGAGGAGAAGATACATAGATATTTGAGTGAGATATTGGTTGGTTATGTAGCTGTGACTGATGTTCCATCATGTGCATTCTACAAAGAGCTGATGAGTATATATCCGAATGCAAAGGTAGAATAAGTGGTATTTTGTTGTGTATTAAGATTTTTGAAAATTGTTTAAAACATATGCGTGTTGGTTATAGTAGGGAATGATGACCTTATACCCTAATGCAAAGGTGGAATGTGAGGTCATCTCAAAGATACTTTGATTCTCTGGCACTCTTATTTGGTATATGGTTATATATCATAACGGCTGAGAACAGGTAATAACTACCTCAGAACTTCCTGAATTGAAAAATAATATTTTCGTTGTTTCTCAAAGGCCTCGACACTCTCTCATTTATAATCATTCATCTTGATCAATAAGGCAGTCTGTAACTATTGTTAATAGCCAATGTCAGTGATTTTTGTTGACGATTTGGCTATTAAGGTCATATGGGAATGATGTGAACTAGGTCACGCCAAATTTACATCTCACGGTAATACTCGACTTGAATTACCCTACGTGATATCCAGGTGCTAAAGTTACTTTGACGACTATTTAGAACAAACTGATTATTGCTAGAGAAATGTGTTGTAGGAAATGACATAAGAACTGAATGGTAGATGTAGTACTGTATACGAAGATTCATGGTGCGTGACTGAATAATCCACGTCAGTCATTATTGCATCTTACGATGTTCGATATCCTACCCGATATCCAAAATGTTCAGCCTCGTGAATGATATGACTAGACATCGTTAATGCCGCTTTGACTCCACTCTATTTTCAATATGTATAAGCATTGTGAAAGTCGGAAATGTTCATACTTTATAAAACTGTGATGAATACTTAAATTCAGCTTCTGAATGTTAGTCATTATGGACTTATCATATAAGTTTGATATTCAAGTTATAATGAATAGTTTATCAATATCACACACATATACGTGATTTTTAAAATTTACCTAAATACTGTTTTGGTATAAATCTCCAAATGACTTATAGAAATTTGTTTTCTTGTCATATCGATAATACCACACCACAATATAATCTTCCTTTTATACAGGTTGTACTGACAGTGCGCGATAAAAACGATTGGTTGACTAGTTTCCGACAAGTAATAATGCCGAAATCAGACGATCCAAGTAAAACTCAATTCGAGGAAGCGAAAAGACGTGCAGGAGTCTCTGTTGAAGTGGACAAACTTACCACTGACTCAATGAAACTAGCACTTCAGAAAGATGATCTTGATTTTGATGATGATGCAATGTTACTTGAATGTTACGTAAAACATATCAAGAATTTTCAGGAAAATATATCATTTCAACGTCTTCTGGTACATAGATTCGAAGACGGTTGGGAACCATTGTGTAGATTCTTGAATGTAGATATACCAGCTAACGTGCCATACCCTAAGACGAATCAACGGTCCGACTTGCAAAAGATAAGTGAATTATTAAGGAAATGTGGATCAATTGAGGAAGTTGCCAGAACGCATCCAGAAATTATATAAAACTGACTGTATTGAACATTGACGCCATTATTAGCTAGGAAATTAGATTGTCGTCAAGCTTTGAATTCCAACTTGTTACTGGCAAATTTGTTAATTTTGATTGAAAATGTAGTCATTAAAATATAGTATAATTTTCAATTTCTTCAATATTTTTCATCATACACATTATTCTGCATCCTAAACAGTTTGTTCATAACAATCAAATAACTGAATGTAGGAATGAGGTGATTGAACTTACGACGAGAAAATGGTTACCGAACAACGTTTAGATGTCTTGAATAGAAGGAAGTGTTTACGAAACAAAAGACTTTCGAATCCAGTCCTTATTAGTTTGAGAAATTCGAAATAGAGGCTTGACTGGTATGGTCATGTGAAACGGGTTCTAGAATGTTTTTCCAAATGAAGTCAGTCTCGCTGGACGTAACATTTACCGCCTGCAAATATCAAGGTTAATCGAAGTACACCTGTTTTTTATTAACAATTTTTCTACGGTATGAACAAAGACCCATAGCCCGAAGACTGGAAAGTTCGGATCAGAAAACAACGTACGACACCGTAGGTCAAGGATTTATGTGATATTTCTCTATAAAGCAATAAATGGACTCTCATTAATAACCTCCTGTCCAATTATGATCTCCTACTGAGTCTATAGACCAAGAAACAAAGCATATACACTGTTTACAGTAAAACACCATGACCAAATGCTTTGTGTTTTTCAATGCAGCATAGTTTAATGTGGAACAGGTTGCCAATACTTATCCGTAAATGTGACACGTTTACCGAATTCAAAAAGGCTAATGACTTTGTTACTAGACTCTAAAGAGTTTCATCGACGTTTCGTTGAACTATCGCCTACCAATGAAGCGTCTAATATCCAGATGAAACAAGAATTAACTAACCCTATTGTTATTAGTATGAATATAACCAAATTACGGAACACATGCTCTATTCTCTACCATTATTCATTGACCATTAATCATGGCCTAATGCTCATAAACCTCACTTCCAGATTCCGAATCTCTCTAATATTCGAAACTGCATTATTGTTCCTAAGTGTCATGTCTTTTTATTTCCTATTACAAATAGACAGATAATTCACTAATTTTATGGATGCTCATCAACTAAGGCCGATCAAAAGAAGCTCAAATGTCCTGAATGCTTTTGAGTTTCTCAATGTTTTTCTTTTCTGACCCTGTAAATTTTACAATCTTTTACTATTTCATATCCTTTGACTTGCTATTAGTTCTTACCATCTCTTAACCACATATAATCTTATACCATTAGTTATCTTCATAGCAGTATGATATAATAAATGTATGACTAACCCATAATACTAATGCTTTAGCCATCTGATTTGCTTGTAACATGGAACTAGTAGAGACAGTGAATTCCAACTATGGGCCTTGATTAAAGCAATATTCAGACTGACCAAAGACGTACGAAGGGAGGGTGACGTTACTGACCAGCAAAGATGATGGTGGGGCGATATCTCCAATCCGCCCGTGTCTGCAGGGCAGAACATGTTAAATTACGGCTCCTTATTTCAAGTGGGATGGCATTAACTAACGGTATTGACGCGGATTAATTTCTGCAAAATACTTTCTTAAACTTTGTTTAAAACGCTGAACTGGTTCCACTTCCTACCCAGTAATCGCATTACAAGCTTGACAATTCGCCAAAAAAGTAGCCTACTCAATACTCTGTAAAATCTAAAGAACTAAAAAGGGTTTAAATAGTTTCGACAAAGGTAGACCGCCATTTGTAACAGAAAACTGTTTTCAGCTCTATATTTTATAACTACACATAATCCCATACTTTCCGGCTTCTTTCTGAACCACCTTCATTTCATAGTTCCTTGTTCACATAAAATTACAGTCTTCTACAATTTCGGGAAGATTTGCCGTAATGTTTATGATACCATCACCAATCAGGTTATCTGTCTCTCGTGGTCTAAAGACAGATCGTTTTCTTGCAAAACTCCTTCGAAGGATCCTTTTTCGTTTACAGTCATGACGAATACGACAGTAACGTGTCAGAGTACGGCAGAGGTCCGTAATGTTATTGCGTGTCATTTGACCTTTTTTCCTTTGACCTAGAAAAATTCGGATTTAGAAGATTTGGCGATCTCCTAAATGCGGCCGGGAGATGCAGCCAGCTTGTCTATGGCGTTGTTTGGAAACGAGACAAACACTGCCTGCACCTGATGATGATGTCTAGACAAGATAACTCGTCTAATACGACCATCGTCGAAATTTCTTTGACTAATTACTTTTGACATTCGTAGTTCAATATTACTGAGGAGTTTATCTAACATTTAGCGATCGATTACATCGTGTTTAAGAATAGACTGTAGCTGTAAATAATTCCACAAAATCTATAGCTTTGTAAGTGTTAGATATTGGATGCTGACCACATTAGTTTTAGTGGACTCGTTTAGCTGAAGGCGCTCGGTCATGCATCCGTACCAGATCACGTTATAGAACATCGTGAGAAACATCTCGTACGATCGTTAGCCAGATTAGATCAATTCCTCCTGGATATATTGATAACACATCAAATATATCTTTCTAATCTCTTCACTTCTGACTTCTGAAATGAGGGTGTTGTCATGTTCATGATCATAAGTACCTTAGCAGTCTGACCTGTAAAGGAATGAACAAGGGAAAAAACTGCTCAAAAATACGAAAACTATCACAATATAAAAAAATCAAGTAAAGTTAATGGAATATAAAGTTCCAGTAATGAGCAGACTCACAGTTTACGAGTTGTTGTTAAAGATCACACCGGCTCATCAATGAAGATGCGACAAGTACTTCTAGTTTGATAACACGTTAACCAGTAAAACCTTCTATATTTGAACCGTGCTCACCCTGTGAAATCAAAAGTCAGAAGCGAATATGTTCGAAGATAAATTTGATGGGTTATCAATATATCGATAAGTGACTGCTCTACACTGACAAGTGGTAGTTGGGGAAGTTGAGCACGGCAATTTCACTCGTGATCTAGTGCGGATGCGTGATTGAGCGCCTTCAGCTAGGTGAGCCTATTAAAAGTTATGTAGTCAGCGCCAAATGTTGAATGCTTACAGAGCTTTTGATTTTGTGGATATACTTACCGCTACAGATTGAACCTCGTTGATGAAAATAAGACAACACTTATTCGACCCTCAGAACCTTACTGATGGTGTCCTCAATTGTTGAATCATCGGACCCTTATTGTTCATCTTCTATGTTAACGACATATGCAACTGCTCTACACTCGTCAAAACGTTTTAATTTCCTGACGACCTTACAGTAGTACATAAATTCAACGCATGTCCCAGTGTAAACGTCGGCTGTATAATACAGAAAGATCTTGATAAACTCCAAGACTGATGTGATGCATAGTACTTCACTTTTAATATAAAAAAGTCTGGGTACATGTACTTGGACACGTCTAATCTGCAGATAAGCTTGCAACAGAACAAGATGGAATTTAGACAGATAAGTAGCGATTAAGGTGTGAAATATTTGGAAAATATTTCATCAATGGAAAAGGCTAAATGCCAAGTCTCTAAAGGCCGTAGAATTATCGGGTTTATCAACCATAATTTTAACTTAAGTGAATCCAAAATAGACCTCCATAAGGAATATTTTCGGCCTCTAATAGAATGCTTCCAGACTGTATTTAGTTGCATGCTTTCCATTGATCGACAGAAAAATTAGAAAGCACAACGCCATTTTAAAAGACTTCTTACACCCTACCTACTATATACAGATAGATGTGAAGAATGAAAACTGAATCGATTGTGGTTAGAAGGAATTAAAATTAACCTTAACTTACTTCTAAGAACTTTGTATTATATATATGTATCTATATAAATAATGCCACACCTTCAAGATGGGTTATGATAATGACACACTCAACCATAGACTACATACTTATGCCTGGTACCTTAAGTTCCGCTGAAAAATCTTTGTAAGTGATCAAAAGTGAAGTCGATATTAAACAGAATGACTAATAAGCAAATATGGACGGTGGCTAGAAGCGAAATCCAGGGAGCGCGTTTTGTGCTTTTTGAGACTTGTCAGCTGGATGTACCTGCATCTCACATGTGATGTTAACTCCAGAACTCGATCATCAACTGTGGCGTGCAGGTGCGTCCAGCTGGGAAGTCCTAAATAAGAAAAAAGCGCTTGCTAGCTACCATCCATCTTTGTTCATAATGCTTGTTAATCGGGGCGGTGTCGAGGCAATACACACGGTATGCACAACTGCTAATAAAAGACTTACCAATTGCATTCTTAAACATCGGTGAAAAGATTCAAGCACAGAATGTCAAGTGAATTTAAGAATGACTGATACATTGACGTTCCTAGATGCTTGAAGCTTAATTGTATGAAAAAGGCTTCAAAATTCATCCAGCGAATCGGAACTTGGAAAGGGCGGAGATCTGCCACACAACTGTTTGATGGTCTTGCTATGTAGAGCTGTTTCAATCATACGGAAGAAAGATTATTCCGCACCTAAAGATATTTTTCATGAGACATATAACCTGTACACCAACAATATACTTATGTAGGTTCCAAAACGGATTTTCCGTGGTGAAGTCATCAGACATTTGGAATAGTTGCATGTCCGAATGGGTTCATAATAGCCTGCCTTGTAAACGGTTCTCAGAAATTCTTGAAGCCAATAAACAGATTAAATAATATTTACTGAACAGGTTCCTCCACAGTGTTCATAAAGTTTTATAGCTTGGATTTTATAAATGTACATAAGCTTGTGGACGGCGTTGAGTAGCGACTGACTGTGATCACCACTACATGAAACATACGGTTAGGCGTACACGGCGACCGGAACGTGAGAACGTAGTCTCATTCGTACTTCGTGAGACTGCAGTCTTACCCGAAGTGAAGGGCGGCGTGGTCTGTTGCTCTGGAAGTGAGACTGACGTCTCGTCCGCAGATGGTGCTAATGAAACGTGCTGTTGACTGGGACGTGAGAATGAGGTCTCTGTT